ATTTTTTTTTATTTCAATATTTAGACATCTCCGAATAATAAGTATTTGGGTATTTAGTGCCCAAACTGTTACGTTAAATACAAAAGTATTTAGGTATGCCCATCACTGGTTTTAACTTAGCCCTGAATGCTGCTTGAGATGTAGCTGGCTCAGGAATGGGTTGGGGACTATTGAAGCGGATCATGATTTTTTTCCGATGGCCGAAAAGACAAAACGCCCTTCAGGGAAAAGTTTTGATTATTCAAAAAGAAGATCGAAGAAAAAATTACAAGGTGTCTGCCCAATCTTATGGGCTCAATATATATATTGAATATCAGACAGAAATCTTTGAAGAGATAGCAGCATGGAAACACGACAAACGCCAAAAAAAGAAATGCACCGTCGGTAGGGAGCGTTGAAGATTACTACTGCTTTCTATATTCTATTCATTGATAAGTATGTACAATGTACATTGTACATACATACATACATAACTCATCTTCAAAATCGCTTCATAAAACACAAACCCGTTTTTGAAAACTTCGGTGTTATTTCCCCAAAAAATTATTGCAACTAAATAAATGCAAGACGTCAAAATGTGGAGCGGTCGTGCGGATCGTCAAAATTTTAAAAACATGTTTGATTCACTTGACGTAATTGTGATTTTGACATTAAGCTATAATATAATTGTGCCATATTTCTTATTTGTCCTCTTTTTTATATGATCAATCAAAATGCTTTCGAACCCCTGAACACGACATTATGTATTTTGGCTGATCTACTAGTTTCGACAGCAATGCCAGAAAGCATATGTATTTTCCACGCTTAAAGGATCATATAATACTTGCGAAGTGCGATTGGTCAGGAACGTTTGAATGTATGTACTTGCATCTTTGAATATTAATTTTGATATACCACTTTCTGTAAATGAAATACTGGAAGAGTTAAAAAAAAAAAGCTAGAAACGTAACTCGGATAATTCGAAAGCAATATTTTGCGGAAGATTTACGGGCCTTTACGCGTTGGCGACAGCGAGTACCGCAGACGATGAGCTGTATGAGCTTTAAAACGACATGAATGTAGTGCAGCGAATTGAAATATAGCGGCTATTCTGGCTTGGCCATGTTCTGAGGGAACAAAATTTTAGAATTAAAATAAAACGTACTAAATTAAAAAAAAATACGCATATGAAAGAGCACCAACCCATCTTGTTTTAAATTGGAGTATGTACGTTCTAACCGATGTCGTTGTGAAGTGCACAGATGCTTTTTCGTAATTAAGAAGAAAAAAAAGAATTTGAAAGAAAAAAAGAATTTTTATGTCCGCCTGATGGTAATTGAACCCGAACCCTCTTGGCAGCAACCAATCGTATCAAGCGTCTTTGCACACAAAGCGACAGCCATACATGTAAATGTGTTTTCAAATGGTGAGTTTGAATCAACATCACAGCGCACGATTAGTGCATTTGTACAGATAAACCCCTGCATAAAATTCGACTAGCCCAGGATGACTCCGGGAGCAATCGCAAAGGAACATGCGACTAATACTCCTTTTGATCTCTTTATATGGAATGAACTGTTCGCTTTTGTTCGAGCATGTCCTATGAAGAGACTATTTGTTCACCTTTATACCCGAACGGGTAATCACTTTTAAAATATAAAAATAAAAATTTGCGACAGCTGCGATTCGAACCGGGGTTCTCAGTTTTGTTAGGCGAATACTCTCTCTGTGTGCCAACGCCGCACATGAAATTTCTTTGACTAAGTGCGTACATATCATTAAATCGTTAATAGTACCCGTTAGAGATGAGTCGGGGACTAATTTATCTCCAATTACACCCGTTAGGGATGAGTCGAGACTAATTGATTTCCAGTAGTACCCGTATAATACTAGTTGCGACTAATTAATGCCCGATTGTACCCAATCGAGAGTAATCTCGGAATACTCTCTTTAGAGATTAGTCGCACAATTTTTCGCAGGTTGCTCTGAATACATATACTTTCTTATTTACACACGAAAAAGCATCCGAGATGTGCAAAATGTCATCCGTGCAGTGAAAAATGCTTCATTTTAATAGGGGCGATTTGAATTGAATATTTCCATTATATGTAGTGTATGTATAATGGAAATATTCACTTTTCACTTGATTTAAATACGAACATTTTTAAACGGTAATCAAATAAAAAAATTTCATTTTTATAACGCGTTTTTTCTCAGTGTGGCATTCGAATGGATACAGAAGCTCCAGCTCTTAAAGTATTTAACTCGGAACCTTATGGTGGTAGCAGAGAAGAAGGGGGCCTCATCTGCGATGGAAAGACCAATTGGAGAAGGACTTGGCTTCCGTTGGCATTTTCAATTGGCGTCGGTTGGCAGAAAATAAAAACGACTGGCGAGCTTTGCTGAAATCGGCCAAAATCGCTTAGGTGGTTATAACGCCAATTAGGAAGATTGATACCCATGTTGACCAAACTTGTTGACTTGTTGAGCTTCTCAGCTTCCGTAACAATCTTAACATGCAGTAAATTAACATTGCATTGGAAATAACGTCACATGGATTTTATTTCAAAATCAAAAGACAAATAAAGCCGTATGGCCTTATTGCGAAGTGTTATAGCACACAACCTATTATTTTATCTATCATATTTTATGTAAATCTTATCGCAGGAAAATTTTGTACATAAGCCATACATATGTATGTCTCTTGCTATGTTTCGTATACGAGTGCCCATAGCAGGTACAGACGTACGGCTAACACAGTGCCACGCGCACAGAAATATCTGATTAAGCAAAATCCACAATTTGTCCCCCAAAAGTTATATCTTGTCTTAGAAAGGATTATATGAAGTTACTAAAAGATTTGCATACACGTTTATAGCGTATATATCTAAGATATTCGTTTTACTTAACCGTTCATGGTGTTTAAAAAAATAAAAAACGCAGAATTGCTAGGCAATCCTTAAGCATACTCAGCAAAATGAGTTCATTTTCCGCGCCATATGGTAAATTAAGTACGGAGCTTATTAAATGCAGCCAAAATATTGGAACGACAAATTCAGAAGAGATTCTTTCGTAAACAAAACTATTTAATGCGAATTTGAAATATACTTAATAACAAGTTTTTTCTTTAGATGTGTTTGAAGTATCACTGGCTGATGATCGACTTAGTTGTTCAAATAAAAGGGTAAAACAACTTAAGAAATTCGATGATTGTGGAGATCATTCTAAAAAATTAAAAGCTGCTTAGTTTCAGTGCTCGCAACAACAATTAGCCATGACAAGTAGAGTAGCAGGTGCGAAAACGAAATCGTAAATATATATTTTTTCTTCAACTGTACTAGCATTAATGATGGATGTAGAGTTAACAAGATATCAGTAAGACACAAGATAGTGTGGCCTGAAGGGAGAGAGATATGATATTTTATCAACCTTATGTAAAGGTAAAGGCAGCCGCTGCATACTGCATATAGTTGAATGCAGTTTCACCGATGCATTGCTAAAGATCCATCTTAAAATATAGAAAAAAAAATTAGAAAACCACCTCTTTGAAAATTGCAGTTTAAGTAAATTGATAAGATAAAGTAAATATCGCAATATGACTGTTAAAAGAGAGACGCTTAAGAAGTCTTACAGCCGAAAGTATTTGTATACAAGGTTGCCACCTATTTGAAGATTTGATTTGATTTAATTGATAAGATAAACTAAATATTCATGGGCGTAGCCAGGTAGGGGCAGAGGGGTGCTCGACCTCCCCCCCTAACTTTCAAATTTTCCTTATATATATATAAAATAGTACCCTGAAATGCCAGCTTAATAGGGTCGAAGCCCCCCACCCCCCCTAAATTTCATTCTGGGTACGCCGATGTAAATATTACAATATGGATATCGGTGCCGAGTACTGTCGTTTACCCCGGCGGATGAGCGTCTAGCCACAATCCGCATCAAAGCGAGATTCTTCAACATCCCACTCATCTGCGCCCATGCCCGACGGAAGAGAAGTATGAAGTATCCAAGGATCTCTTATATGAGCGCTTGGAGCGCTTTGGAACCACCGTCGGAAAATTCAGCCTCCACGACGAAACGTTCCACAACGGGCTGAGGCTGATCGATTCCGCCGGGGCCCGAAACATGCTAGTATGCACTACTAGGTTCAAGCATAAAAAGATTCATCAAGCTACATGGCTGTCTCCGGATCGAAAAACGAGAAACCAAATCGATCATGTTGTGATAAACGGAAGACACGCTTCCAGTGTTTTAAACGTACGTACACTCCGAGACTCAAAATCGACTCGGACCACTATCTTGTTGCAGCCAAGATACGCACCCGCCTCTGTGCCGCAAAAAATGTGCGCCCAAATATGCAAGGAAAGCTTAACGCCGAAAAGCAGCAATGACATCAGTTAGCCAATGCATTCGCTACTCGACTCTCACACCTGCTCTCAGAGACCACTCTTCAACAAACCGACATATGCGAGCAGTTAAACCACCTCTCCCACTCATAAAGTATCACCGCCGAAGAAGTAGTCGGATTTCAGCGAGCTCGAAAGAACAGCAGGTACGATGAGGAATGTCAGAAAGCTGCAGAGAAAAAAGATGCGACCTACAGGCATAGTTGCCAACTTGGTGCTTTAACCACTAGATTTAGGGCTTTTTGAAAATTAAAACGCCAAAAAAAGTTATTCAGTGCCTAAATAGTGCCATTTTTAGTGCTTTTTTCTGAACTAAAATTACTTCGAATTTGAAATATTTAAAGCTGTGGCAGCACTGAATTTACAAGAATCTACAAATTCAAATGGACTAAAATACAACCATGATTGATAAAAAGCTGAAGTTGCAAACCCACCTTGTTAAACTCTATTCGCTTTGAAAATGCTAGTACGCAAGTAAGTTAAGTATTTCTTTTTTTCTTTTCTAATTATTTGTACAAATTTTGTTTTTTTTACCACCTGAGTAAAACACATCGTTACTTGGTGCTGAATCCAAATCTGGCCTCACAATTGCTCTAGCACAAGGATTTTGAGATATCCTAACCTCAAAGTGCCAAAAACACGTTTTTTAGCGATACTTGAGATTATATAATGAAAACATCAAATTATTTGCTTATTTCTGATTAGGGCATCATTTTCGTCTGTTGCGATTCGATTTTTCTTTCTCGAGATATACCAGTTTTAATGTGAAGTACTTCAGTATTATGTTATAAAAAAAGCATCCCTTGATTCAAAATAATTTGGTGCTTTTCGTGTGGTAAAACGCTTTTTATACAGGTTTTTGGTGCTTTTTGAAAACTAAAAAATGGCAACACTGCCTAGAGGCCCACGCAGCGATCGGGCGCAACGCGCGATATGTGGGACCGCTATAGGGAACTGAAGAGGGAAGCAAGACGTATTTGCCGAAATAAGAAGAGGGAGGCCGAAATACGTGAGTGCGAAGAGCCTGAAATGCTGGCCCACAGGAAGAATGCCCGAAAATTTTACCAGCGAGTTAGGCGACTTACGGAAGGTTTCAAGACCAGGGAGTACTCCTGTAATAACAACAATGGCGACCTAGTTACCGATGATTAGACCGTACTCAAATTATGGAGGGAACACTTTTCCAGCCTACTGAATGGTAGCAGCACGGTAAGTTGTGGAGAAGAAGAACGCGAGCCAGCGGTCGATGATGACGGAGTCGGTGTACACCACCTGACTATGACGAGGTACGAATAGCAATAACGCGGCTGAAAAACAACAAAGCTACCGGAGCTGACAGCCTGCCAGCTGAGCTATTCAAGTTCGGTGGCGAGGAGTTGATAAGTTGCATGCATCATGCATCTTATACAGAATATGGTCAGATGAATGCATGCCCGAAGAATGGAATTTAAGTGTGCTCTGCCCAATCCACAAGAAAGGCGATCCCGCCATTCGCCCCAACTACCGCGGGATCAGCTTTCTAAGCATTGGATATAAGGTCTTATCGAGTATATTATGCGAAAGACTGAAGCCTACCGTAAACGAACTGATTGGCGCTTATCAGTGTGGCTTTAGACCTGGAAAATCCACTATAGACCAGGTATTCACAATACGCCAAATCTTGGAAAAGACCCGCGAGAAAAGGATTGACACCCGCCACCTATGTGTCGACTTTAAAGCCGCTTTCAACAGCACTAAAAGGAGTTGCCTATATGCCGCTTTGTCTGAATTTGGCATCCCCGCCAAACTGATACGGCTGTGTAAAATTACGTTGAGCAATACCACTAGCTCCGTCAGAATTGGGAAAGACCCCTCCGAGCCGTCCGCGATAAAACTGGGGACGACTGAGCTACGCGACGATTGTGGTTGTGGCCCGGTTAGATCTATTTCTATTTTTTCAGCGACAGATAAGGTTCTTCCTCTTCTTTTATGTCAAACTCATACAAATGTTGCTACCGCGTTCAAAAAAATGTCGTCATCGACAAAGCGTTTAGAAAATGAAGATAACAAATTGGAAGCTATGGCCCGTAGCTCGCCGTTTTCAATGTGTTCACAACTTCACTCTTGCCAACAAGTGCTACTTTGGACTAAGTAGGCAATTCACCTCTCTCGACGTACGAAAACCATACTATATAAGTCACCCCGTGCCCGTGCTGATATATGGCGCAGAAACATGGACAATGACAACAACCGATGAGGCGGCTTTTGTAGCCGTTGTCCAAGAGAAAGATTTTGCGGAAGATTTACTGGCCTTTGCGCGTTGACGACGGCGAGTACCGCAGACCTTGGAACGATGAGCTCTATGAGCTTTGCAACGACATTGACATAGTGCAGCGAATTAAAATACAGCTGCTCAGTTGGCTTGGCCATGTCGTTCGAATGGACACCGACGCTCCAACTCTGAAAGCATTCAACTCGGAACCCGCTGGTTTTAGCAGAGGAAGAGGGAGGCGGAGAAGGACTTGGCTTCACTTGGCGTTTCCAATTGTCGTCAATTGGCACAGAAGAGAAACAACTGGTGTGCTTTGTTGAACTCGGCCAAAATCGCTTAGGCGGTTACATAAGAAGAAGAAGAAGATATGAAATAAGAAGAAGATATGGATATCAGACTAAATAGGTTTAGGAAAGTTTACTCCCAAAAATAATTTCGGGGAGAGTTGCCGCCTTTTAAAAGTTTAATTCAAATATTAAATTGATAAAAAAAAATAAATATTACAATGCGGGTATCAAACTAAAGAGCGTTAAGAAAGTTTACTGTCGAAAATATTTTTGCAGCAAGTGGCCACCTATTTGAAAAATTGTATTCAGTTAAATTGATACGATAATGTAAATACTGAATTAATACACCTTTGAAAAAAGTGCGCGATATGTACAATCGAGTTATCGAAAATCGTTTTGAAAATCTCACTTCATAAAACTCTTCCTATCTATTTTATTTTTTAGGAATGAAGCCATAAGAGTTTTGGGAGGGAGTAACAACACAAAAATACTTTCAAGGCGCAGTGAAGCACGCCGTATTTGCAAGGTAATGAATAAAATGTTTCAATTTTGTGGACTTTTTTTGTTTTCGCAAGTGAAAATATTTAGAAAACTTTACCTTAAGGAAAGAAGAGATACCTATAGATACTGAACTATTTCCACGTATTTGCAATGTTTATTTACTAAATACCTTAAACTAACCATGCATTCAAAATCTCAAATACAATTTGGCACCTCGGAAGTCAATCTAAATGACGAATTTGCGCAATTTCTCTTTTTGATTGACTGAAATATCTAATTTTTTGTGTTAAAAAAAAATATCGCTATATGGTAAATTAAGTACGGAGCTTATTAAATGCAGCCAAAATATTGGAACGACAAATTCAGAAGAGATTCTTTCGTAAACAAAACTATTTAATGCGAATTTGAAATATACTTAATAACAAGTTTTTTCTTTAGATGTGTTTGAAGTATCACTGGCTGATGATCGACTTAGTTGTTCAAATAAAAGGGTAAAACAACTTAAGAAATTCGATGATTGTGGAGATCATTCTAAAAAATTAAAAGCTGCTTAGTTTCAGTGCTCGCAACAACAATTAGCCATGACAAGTAGAGTAGCAGGTGCGAAAACGAAATCGTAAATATATATTTTTTCTTCAACTGTACTAGCATTAATGATGGATGTAGAGTTAACAAGATATCAGTAAGACACAAGATAGTGTGGCCTGAAGGGAGAGAGATATGATATTTTATCAACCTTATGTAAAGGTAAAGGCAGCCGCTGCATACTGCATATAGTTGAATGCAGTTTCACCGATGCATTGCTAAAGATCCATCTTAAAATATAGAAAAAAAAATTAGAAAACCACCTCTTTGAAAATTGCAGTTTAAGTAAATTGATAAGATAAAGTAAATATCGCAATATGACTGTTAAAAGAGAGACGCTTAAGAAGTCTTACAGCCGAAAGTATTTGTATACAAGGTTGCCACCTATTTGAAGATTTGATTTGATTTAATTGATAAGATAAACTAAATATTCATGGGCGTAGCCAGGTAGGGGCAGAGGGGTGCTCGACCTCCCCCCCTAACTTTCAAATTTTCCTTATATATATATAAAATAGTACCCTGAAATGCCAGCTTAATAGGGTCGAAGCCCCCCACCCCCCCTAAATTTCATTCTGGGTACGCCGATGTAAATATTACAATATGGATATCGGTGCCGAGTACTGTCGTTTACCCCGGCGGATGAGCGTCTAGCCACAATCCGCATCAAAGCGAGATTCTTCAACATCCCACTCATCTGCGCCCATGCCCGACGGAAGAGAAGTATGAAGTATCCAAGGATCTCTTATATGAGCGCTTGGAGCGCTTTGGAACCACCGTCGGAAAATTCAGCCTCCACGACGAAACGTTCCACAACGGGCTGAGGCTGATCGATTCCGCCGGGGCCCGAAACATGCTAGTATGCACTACTAGGTTCAAGCATAAAAAGATTCATCAAGCTACATGGCTGTCTCCGGATCGAAAAACGAGAAACCAAATCGATCATGTTGTGATAAACGGAAGACACGCTTCCAGTGTTTTAAACGTACGTACACTCCGAGACTCAAAATCGACTCGGACCACTATCTTGTTGCAGCCAAGATACGCACCCGCCTCTGTGCCGCAAAAAATGTGCGCCCAAATATGCAAGGAAAGCTTAACGCCGAAAAGCAGCAATGACATCAGTTAGCCAATGCATTCGCTACTCGACTCTCACACCTGCTCTCAGAGACCACTCTTCAACAAACCGACATATGCGAGCAGTTAAACCACCTCTCCCACTCATAAAGTATCACCGCCGAAGAAGTAGTCGGATTTCAGCGAGCTCGAAAGAACAGCAGGTACGATGAGGAATGTCAGAAAGCTGCAGAGAAAAAAGATGCGACCTACAGGCATAGTTGCCAACTTGGTGCTTTAACCACTAGATTTAGGGCTTTTTGAAAATTAAAACGCCAAAAAAAGTTATTCAGTGCCTAAATAGTGCCATTTTTAGTGCTTTTTTCTGAACTAAAATTACTTCGAATTTGAAATATTTAAAGCTGTGGCAGCACTGAATTTACAAGAATCTACAAATTCAAATGGACTAAAATACAACCATGATTGATAAAAAGCTGAAGTTGCAAACCCACCTTGTTAAACTCTATTCGCTTTGAAAATGCTAGTACGCAAGTAAGTTAAGTATTTCTTTTTTTCTTTTCTAATTATTTGTACAAATTTTGTTTTTTTTACCACCTGAGTAAAACACATCGTTACTTGGTGCTGAATCCAAATCTGGCCTCACAATTGCTCTAGCACAAGGATTTTGAGATATCCTAACCTCAAAGTGCCAAAAACACGTTTTTTAGCGATACTTGAGATTATATAATGAAAACATCAAATTATTTGCTTATTTCTGATTAGGGCATCATTTTCGTCTGTTGCGATTCGATTTTTCTTTCTCGAGATATACCAGTTTTAATGTGAAGTACTTCAGTATTATGTTATAAAAAAAGCATCCCTTGATTCAAAATAATTTGGTGCTTTTCGTGTGGTAAAACGCTTTTTATACAGGTTTTTGGTGCTTTTTGAAAACTAAAAAATGGC